TGCTTCTGTCGCGCCAGCTGCTGTGTTAGCCATTCGTTGCGTTCGCCTGTCTGCTAAGCTCAAAACAACCGCGCCTGGCTTGACGGAGAAACCAGGAGAACAGCTGTGCATATTTACGACAGTGCACTTTTACTTTCGCCCTCTGGGGGGAGCCTCGCTGGAAAATCAACACCGGCTGCATAGTATACCTTTAAATAAGGCATCTAATAAATTAGACATAGATGTTTGGGGGGTTTTTGTCTAAAAAAATAGCTTTTTTTGCCAATTTTTCCAGAGTCAGATTTGTGAGGAGAGCAGGTGGATCTCTGCAGCTCTAGAGCTGCAACAGGCCTGGATTTCTCTGACTGATGCACATCAAACCTCCCAGATCTGTAAACCATACATCTTTCTCTTCTGCTGCACAAATTCCACCGCTTTAGCTGGTGTGTCACACAACTCCTCATTAAAACACACTCCAGAAAGTTATAGAAACAGGATTCATCTCAGATGAAATGCAGGAAGTGTGCTGAACCATAAAAATTCCAAGGAAAATTTAAAAGACTAATCCCAGCCCATAACAAGAACAATAAGTCAGAAGAGGTTCCACTTCTTTCAGCCTCATCCCAGTTTAGACCACAATAACCAGAGCAAGGATAAACCAGGCTCCGCCCTTTTCCCTCCACAGTTAGTGTTAGTTTTGCATTTATTGCTTTGGATGAAAGTCCAGGAAGCTTTGGAAATGGCTCCACCAAATGCGCCAAAGATTCCTGGAGTCTCACCTTTGTTTGGTTTTATTCAGAAATGATAGAAAACTCTAGTTGCCGCAGAGCCTTTTCATACCACTTGATGAATAAACCAACCATCACAGGAAAAAAACAGTGGTGTAAGTGAAGGATATTAGTAACCCACATACCAGCCTTTGGAAAAAGTCGATGACTTTCACCTTTGTAGAAGCGGGAAGCTCCATTTCTGCTTTATGCTCCGTTTTAGCTGTGAAAGGAAGCGCAGAAATGATGCAGTCAGTTACAATGTTTACCGTCACCAACCCATACGAGCTGCTGCCCTGCAGGGAGGAGGACATGAGGTTAACAGAGCAAACATTACATCAGCTGAGCTCAGAGATAACGGTCGCTTATCAAAGCTAGTATAACTGCAGCAGGTGTGGAAAACAACAGAGTAGCTTTTCATGTCAGGTTTCCTGAGAGACGAACCACACAGAGAGAAACAAAACGATCTCTGAGCTCCGGGAAGCATTTGTTGTGGAGACGCTCAGCTCATTGTTCTGTCGCTAAGTCAATCTCTGCCATGTTCTCTCTTAACAGGGGCACAGACAGACTGGATTCCTCCAATCTTATCTGAACATCCTGTGCTAAAGCAAACAGGATATTTGCTTCTTTTAAAACAGCCCAGGGACTCACAGATGATGTCTGGAGCTTCGATGTAGTCCGCAAACTCTTCCTCGCTTTCAAAGTCCGTGTACTTGTTGAGAGAGCGCTGGTGGCTGGCTTTTAAAATTTCCTGCAGGACGTCGTGTTTGTCCTGTTGCTGGCACAGACCGTGATTCCTTAGAGCCTCTTCGTGACTGGCGATGGCACGACGCATATGAGCTTTACCTACAGAGGAACGGACAAAACAGGATCAGAGGCGCACAGAAGCAGCCATTAAACGTTTTCCCTCTGCTGTGATTAGCTTACCGATACGTTCACGTTCATCTTTGTCCTTCAGGATGTCGAGTGGGGAGCATCCCTCGGGGAGCTGATCGTACACCTGAGATAAGGTCTTCTCCTGCTGATCCTCGTCATCGTTGGGGCCCACTAAACGCAGAGGGAGAAAAATCCATCTCAGAATGAGAAACGACTCATTTTAAACAGAAAATACATTTTCAGAAACTGTCCTTTAAAATAGGATTCATATGAAGCAATGACAATGATTTTAAGACATGCTTTTTAAATATAAACTGAAAAATGTAGATTTTGTTTTAATTTTTTTTTTTGTGAAGGTTTTAGTGGGACGTTTAAAACTTCCATGGATTTTTTTTTCCTTTTCAGGTTTATTGTGATCATCAGGTTCACATTTTTGTGAAATGAAAGAAAAACGAAGAATGTTTTTCATTTTTTTGTCCTGACTGCCATTCCAGACAGAACATCAGGCTTTGATGTGAATCTGTTCTTTGTTGCTCTGGTTTTGTGTTTAGAGTCATTGTGCTGTCTAAAGCCTCTCTAACAGGTTTCTGATTTATTTTCTCAAATAAAATAAAAAATATATATACTTTTTAATAGGGATGCACGATATAATCGGCCCCCTATCGGTATCGACTTTAAAACTGAATATCGGACATCGGCCACCCCACCGATATTTAATCCGATATTTGATCAGCTTCTGAGTTTCTAAAGTCTAAAAAAAATAAATAAATAAATACTACTTCTTCTTCCTCAAAAACTTCTTTTTTAGACTTAAAAACTTCTAAAGGCGAGGGAAAAAATATTGATACATTAAAATATCCCAATATCTTCATATGCTGATATATTGCCATTTAAAAACACCATATCAATCTCTTTTACTAATGAAATATTGCTATATGTCATCGTTATGCTACGAAATCCCCCGAAAATTCACGAAATTTTGCCATTTTTTTATATGTTGATATATTGACGCGGTATCGATCTATTTTACTAACAAAATCTCACAAGAATTTGCGAAATATCACGAGAGTTTGTAACAGAACGATGAAATTTCACGAGATTTTGAAAGTAAAATAGATCGATTTTAAAAATCAATTTGATATCAGCAAATGAAAATATATTTGAGTATATTATTTTTCAAAGTGTCAGAAATGGATAACAAAACTGCTATTTTCAATGACTACTTATTTTTGTCCAGCTTTAACATCGGTATCGATATCGGTTATCGGCTACATGAGTTTTAAAATATCGGCATATCGGATATCGGCCAAAATCCCAATATCGTGCATCCCTACTTTTTAAATATTTTTGCCAGTGGCCCTAATCCTCTTCTGAAGAACATGTGAGAATTCTGAGAAAACAAGACAAAATTCTGAAATTAAAGTAAGAATTCTGACTCTCTTTCCAAATTAAACTTAAATAAAAACAATAAAAACTTTTTGTATGTTTTTCAGTGGCCCTAATCCTAATCCTCTTCTGAAGAAAATGTCAGATTTCTGAGAAAATAAGAAAAGGGCCCTAATCCTCTTCTGTAGGTTTACTATCAGAGCTTTCTTTTAAGCTACCCCTACTGGGGAAACACTTCCCCACAGCATAATGCTGCCACCGCCATGGTCCAAAAAGGAAAAGATGTGATTAGCTTTCAGCCACGAAGGGGGCTTGGAGATATGATAGATATAATTAAAATCTAATCTAGGGCTGAAACTATTAATTGGATAATAATCAACTAGTTTAGGTAATTAAATGTTAGCCTCGTGAGACCATCCTGATCTCGCGAGCTTTCAAGGTTTCACTCGCAGATCAGTCTGGAGACTCTCCGTTAAAGAAAATTTGGAGCCGTTCACCAAACGAACGTCCAATCAGCGTTGGCTTTGAGGCGGGTTGAGGTGTGACGCAACGAGAAGCGCGACAGTTCAGTCTAAAGAACATGGCGGCTTCAGCCGATGAAACTAGCGTTAGCGTGGCTATCGAGCAAGTTTTATCGGAATTACAGAGTATTTCTTCACTGAAAGAAGAGCAAAACACTGCTCTGGAGGCTTTTCTCAGAGGAAAAGATGTTTTTGCTCTTCTCCCGACTGGTTTCAGCAAGAGTAGCCTGGCTTGTGGTTGTGTTTTCGTCGTCGCTCTGTTAGTACGTCATATGCTTCGTTGATCTGATTGGTTTATTTGGCCCGTCTATCACCAACATAGGCCAATCAGCTAACCAGTATTTTCGCCCCTTCCCAAAATTACTTCAACGGAAGGTTTCCAGATGGATATGCAGAGCAAATCCATCTGGCGGAGTCAGGTTAATTAAATGTATGGTAAAAATGAAAAAAAATTGTGACATTTATAAACTTCTAATTCATTTAGATGATACTCAAAATCATCTCTTATAATGATGGAAAGTTTATCATGATGTCAATAAACAATAAGATAAATGGCCACCTTTTGAACCCATTTAACATGGTTAAATATCCTTTTTTTCACCGGATAAGAGCTATTTTTTCATGCTGCTAAGAAATTAAACTAGTTTTAACTGGTAGCTAATCATCTCATCAGATGAAAGCAGTCTGAGAAACGCTTTATTTTCATTCAGCGTCTCATATTAATTGACGTGTAAAATCCAAACCAAACAGAATGAGCTTTGATGTGACTTATAGTAAAGAAAAAGCAAAACTTTCTGCTGATTCTGGTAAATAGGATTATAGAAAAACTTCATTATTTTTATCAAAAAGCTCCTCAGAATATGAGTTATTTTAAAACTTTATGAAGTGCCTGTAAACGGCGGTCTGCGAGTCCTGATTAAAGTTTCAGATGAAATGATCAGACCTTTCTGTGAGGTTCTGCTTCACTGAGGCAGAACTATCGGCTGGTATTTATGCTTCATCTCTATTCCGCTGCTGCCATCATTTAGCGCCGTTCCTCGCTTCGATCCGTCCTCTATTCTCTACGGTTCTGTGGTTAATTGCTTCATTTTCCTCGTTCTCTCAGGAATTTGTTAATGAGCTGCCAGACTCAAAGCTGTTTCAGTTTGATGCTGTTCTATTTATTGGTCCTAGTCCAAGCATTACAGTCTTGCTCATGTGTTTGCACGCTCCCGCTAAACTTTCCAACCTCTTTAAAACCTGCAATTGGCCTCAGCAAAAAAATGCAGAAACAAAACGAGACAAAGGAAATTTAATTGGACTGCGGGTTAGAAAATAAACCACAACTTTTTCTTTTTAATTATGACAGATTGAACTATGGCATCGACAAGACGTCACAGCTAATCAATCACATCGGTTATGCAAACCCTACAGCAAACAAAAAACTTTTTAGTTTTTTTTTTTTTTGGAATGTTTCCCCAACTTAAATATCTTTTAATTTACTTGGATTTCATTTATGAGGACAGGATACATAAAGGGTCGCTCGCCGTAATCCAAACAGCTCTGTTCTACTTTAAATTCCTCTCTTGTCTTTGCTCTCTGTTGATCGCAGCTCTATGGACAAAGCTGCTGAGTTTGTGTGCCGATGTGTGTGTCCTTAAATAGCTGTTGTGTAACAGCTTTTGGTTCAATCATCTGGCAAAACCAGCAGAAGCAGAAGCCCTCCCAGTACTACAGGCAAAAGAAATACTGGTTTAGGCTGTTTTCCCCATCAGGCAGGAAACCTTTTCTCTGATAGGAACTTCTGACTCTGAATGCATGCTTTCCGTCACATCTTTTATAGCTTTTCACTGTGTGTGTTTTCAAAAAAAAAAAAGGTTTCCTTACGCTCATGATCCAGCAGTGCTGAGGCCATGAAGTGATGTGCAATGGCACGGTAGTGGTTGGTTTTGACCAGGGACATGGTTGACCAGAAGAACGGCACGTTGTCTTTGATCGGCATCTGGATCATAGACTGATGGACCTGATCGTAGATTTCTGAGACCTGGCAAGAAGAGAACGACGGAGGAAAAAGTGGACTTTAAAAGCAGCAATTTGAGGAGATGGCCGTGATGACATCACGTTCAGTTTATGATGTCGTATTTACCTTTGCAGCCTCCTGAGCCATTTTAATCAGGGAGTTGAACTGGTTCATGATCCCCGGAAGTGCGATCTTCTCAAAGATGCACTCCTGCGCTTGAGCAAGCATCAGGCGAATCAGCATGCTCACCATTGCTGGGCTCATGTCGTAGCTGGGCGTGTGGGTGAAGGTTTCCTTAAGGTGGTTCAGCATGCCTGGAGGAGGGATTTGAGTTAACAGAAATCCAAGCAAAACTCAAAAGGCTTTAAATCATTTATGCTCCCAAAACAGTTTCCTTTAAGTGTTTTCATCTCATCGCAAAATTAAAAAGAACCTAAATAAACTCAGTGGTTTATCTTTGAAGCCAAAAGGAAGATTTTTTTATTTCTGTCTCCTGAAACCTCATTTCAATTTATTCTGGTAATAATAATAATAATAATAATCTTAAGAGATGCGTCAAGAAACCTGCAGATTAAAGATCAGCTATGTTTAGTGTGAAACAGATGCTTCCAATTAAAAAAGATGAAAGAACATACTGAATATTTCCCTCACAGGTTGAGACATGTTCAGGAGGGGGGGGTTGGTGTTGGTGCATCAAAGATTCTCTGTTTTGAGCTTTAAACTCAGGGTTATAGCAGGTTTTAGGAGAACCTCAGTTTAAGGATCCAGATTCTCTGGGAAAAAAAACTTGGTTTGACAGTTTTTTCTGTGATGTCAGTGGCTCCAACTGTGCTAACTGCTAATAAGCTAAAAACACTTTAAAAGTTGATCTCTTAGAAAAAATCAAAATGAAAAAAGATTGATTTTCTTTACTCTCTCTTGCACACAAACAAACAAACAAACACGTGCCTTGGCGTCACTTCTGTTAGAAATATTAACAATTTATGATTATTTATTTTGGATTATGCTCTTATTTTCCTTTATTAAACATCTTCAAGAATAGTTAAAAATTTAATCTTTGTCTTATTAAATCTTTTAAAGTACTCCTCATGTGTTGGCCTAGTGGGTTACAGCGTAGCGCTTGTGTTCTGAGAAGGTTGCAAGAACCCTGATCGAATCTCACAGACTGCCACTCTGGGTCCCTGAGCAAGACCTTTAACCCCACACTGCTCCCTGGGCGCCGCACAATGGCTGCCCACTGCTCCCCAAGGCGATGGGTTAAAAGCAGAGAGTTCATTTGTCCAATGTGAGATCAATAAAGTTCAATTATTATTATTAGTAACCTGCAACATTTGATCGATGGCAGCTCTGCATACAAACGATCCTAAAACATAATTCATCAGTTTATCATAACTAATACGTCTATAGTTAAAAACACCAAGAGCAATTTGACATAAAATGCTTGTATTTTCTTTTATTTAAAGTCGTAGGGAAGCGGCCGTTCCAACCGTTGCATTTCCGAATTCTCCCGAGTGATGCCAACTTTACACGAGTGAATAAAGGGAATGTGATTGGTCGATTATCAAGGGGGCGGGATTGTTGTGGCGGAAGGTTCACAAGCAAGTTTGGTCCGGTTTGTCAGAAGCATCTTGCTAACCATTTAGCAACTTAGTGCTAGCAGGTTCCCAATGGGAAATTCCATTGGGACAAGTAGCACTAAATTGGTGACTTAGAAACGACGCTGTCAAGGAACGCTATGGACAGCGGAAACATGCAAGAGGAGGAGAGTTTAGTGTCGGAGGTCGTGGATGAGTCTCCTCAGTCATCCGTTTTTTATTTAGAGGAGGAAAGCGGGGATGAAGATGTTGTGGAAGAGGACGCCAGGGCGGCAGAAGCTTGGTTTGGTGTAGAAGGCTTCCAGCCGTACATGTTTGAGCCCTTGCCTCGCAACGCCGCCAGTTCTGTTAGCTCTAGCCGTGAACACTGGGACGGAACTCAATAGGAAAGGAAATTATTCTTATTTCAACCGCTGCGTATATTAGCTGCGACATATGAATCAAGATGCTATGACCAAAAAAATTTGATTGACAGATGACCGTTGATATATGATGGGCCGGCTGACGTATAACTAATTGGCCTGCAGAAGATAATGGGAAAAAAACACAGATTTTACGACAGGATGTTTTTTAAATAGAACTTTTCTAAATTTTGGCACAATATCATCTGATAAAGAGTACATTTATATACATGTTTAAGCGAGAATGATTTAACATTTAAGTATGACTTCCCTACGACTTTAAATAAAGTTGCACCACTTTATTGTTATCAATCTGCACATCAATGGATGAATAAAAGCTTTTTTTAAAGGAACGAGTCATAAAATCTAAATTCGCAGCAGGAGCTGAGCTTAGTAACAGAGAACTACGCTTCCAGCCAGAGTGCTGAGCCAAATCCACTGCATGTAAATCCTTAACATTAATCAGCCCTGAGCTCAGTTTGTTGCTCAAACAATGTTTCCTCTGACAGTATAATTGCTTTATTTTTACAAGCCTAACTGAAGATGAGCGCTATAATTAAAGAGCAGCGCTCCCGTCACTGCAGAGCCGTGCATCGATCACCGTCTTACTGTACTTGTTGACAGACCTTTAAGAGGTGGAGCGCTCCTTCATGTTTGCTGATGCTTTTTTGGACTTCAGCCACATGAGAAGAAGCCAGAGAAACATGTGAAACAGAAACCAGAGGGTGGAGGCCGACTGATAGCCAGACATAAAGCGCTGGCTATCCATCTGAACAATACGTTATTGTGTCCTTAGTGGGATTATTTGCAGCACAAAGAAAAACAAACAAACTTTCCTGCAAGTTAAAGAAGCGTTTGACATGACCATTATTTCTGCAGAGTAAAACAACCACGGGAAAATCTTTCTTCTATCATCTCACTATATCTACACGTTTCACCGTCACTGCAGGTTAAAGTGAACCAATTAAAACTCTCCATCTTCTCAGGTTAACTTTGACGTACCTGCAGCTTTTTGGAAAGCGGAGATGGCCTCCTCCAAGCCCGCTGCTTTCTGCCGGTTACTGCGCGTCCCGATCTGGGAGTACAGCGCTGCAATGTTGAAGACCACGCTGGCTTTCTCTAAAGACAGGTTCTGTTGGCATACGGGAACGCCTGTGAAGGAGTCGTACCTGCAGGAAAGAAGCCAGAGCACGTTACCGTTTACGGTTCAATTCAACCCTCATAGTGGTTCACTAGAAAAATTGAAATCTAGATAAGTCAATTTTTCTTAAATTAAGTGCATTTGTTCTTGAATTTAGGAGGTAAGTGAGGCTCTTTGCCAATGGAACAAGACAATTTCCATTTAAAATAAGAAAGAACTATTGCATTGTTTTATTTTAAGTGCATATTATCTAATTATCTTGTTTTAAGAGTAAAAATGCTAATTCCATTGTCAGATCATCTTATTTACCTACTCAAATTAAGGGTAAATACACTTAATTTAAGACACTTTTACTTATTTCTAGATTTTTTTTGCAGTGTTCAAATCCAAACCAGTATACACTGGAAAAAACATCTAGAAATATGTAAACATTTCCTAAATTAAGTGTATTTACCCTTAATTTAAGTAGGTAAATCAGATAGTTTGCCAATGGAATGAGTATTTTTACTCTTAAAATAAGATAATTAGATAATGTGCACTTGAAATAAGACAATGCAATTGTGTTTTCTTATTAAGTGTAAATTATCTTGTTCAATTGGCAAATGTCTCTTTTACCTCCTCAATCCAAGAACAAATGCACTTATTTTAAGAAAAAAATTACTATTTTTTCCAGTGTAATGTGAAATATTTCATATTGGCTATTTTTTTCCCTACAGTAGATCTTTTATGCAGTTTGTTTCTTTTGTTTCAACTCCCTGAACTAGAACGTCTTATTGCAGGGGGGAAAAAGAAGCTGTAGGGAGACAAACAGCTGGCACCAGCCTAAATCTTTCTCCTCTAATTCTCCAATGAGTAGCGAGGCATTATGTAGGGATATACTTCCTGATCCACAGACTTAAGGAGGTGTCAGAATACTTGAAGACTGAAAACCCCCCAACAAAGGAGCTCAAAGCAGCCGATTTAAGAGAGGATTGCACGATGTCTCTTGGCCTTCATTTTCTTTGCACATTGCTTTTATATATTACAAAAAAAACATAATTGTTTGGTTTTTGGAATAGAAAATCACATGAAGTGCAATAGTTTTTCCAAAAATATAGTTCCTCTAAGACATTTAATCTTTTAGGAAGTAAAATTTAATGGATACCTTTCTGGTGTCATGTTTATTCAACACCCTCCCTTCTATCTGCAGAAAAGCCTCCCTAAAGCCTGATATTCCCACCGCCATGATTCACTTTGAGTTGAAGGGTACTACATATTTCCCACTTGGATAAAAAAAAAAAAAAAAAAGCTGCACCATCCTCCAAATTCGCCGGAAATAAAAACATCAAACGGGACGTTTTATGACCTCTTTTAACAGTTACAGTAATTACTTCCTTGTATTCTTCTATAGAAGAATATCTTAAAATTTCTCATTTTTTTAAATAAGGAAATGACATTTTATGAAGCTGTTGCTGTTAACCCTTTATAGGGCACTCGGTGAAATTAAAATTTCAACATTGCAAAAAACACAAATCTCAATAAGTCATTTTCTCTTAAAATAAGTGCATTTTTTCTTCAATTGAGGAGGTAAGTGAGACACTTTGCCAATGGAACAAGATCATTTACTTTTAAAATAAGAAAAAAACAATGTTATTGTCTTATTTCAGTTCATATTATCTAAATATCTTATTTTAAGAGTAAAAATACCCATTCCAATGGCAGATCATCTTATTTATCTGCTCAAATTAAGGGTAAATACACTTAATTTAAGAATTTTTCTACTTATTTCCAGGTAGTTTTTGCAGTGAAGTCAATGCACTGGAAAAAATCAAAACCTAGATGAGTCATTTTTTCTTAAAATAAGTGCATTTGTTCTTGAATTGAGGAGGTAAAAGAGACATTTTGCCAATGGGACAATCCAGTTTACATTTAAAATAAGAAAACGCAATTGCAACATCTTATTTCAAGTGAATTTTATCTAAATATCTTATTTTAAGAGTAAAAATACTCATTCCATTGGGAAGCCATCTCATTTACCTACTCAAATTAAGGGTAAATACATTTAATTTGAGAAATTTTTACTTATTTCTAGATCATTTTTCTAGTGTGGTGTCATTGGAATCCAGGAAAAGACCTTATTACCTTTGTAACATTCAAAAAATATGGATGGCAAAAATGAATGTCAATGTAATAAAAAGAAACACCAACTTGCCCAAAATGAAAAAAAAAAACATAAAAATAACAAAAGCGCTTGGAGAAGAAATCCATGTAAAACACTCCACAAAGTGAAAGAAACACTTTTTATTTATTTTTTTTGGTAAAACATAACCTTAGCGGCATTAATGCTAAAACTGGTACTTACATTTTTTTCTTTTTTAAACCTAAATCTAATTGTTAACTAGGCTTATTAACTTTTTTTTTTTTTTTTACTTTTAAATCACCTTTTTACCATTTTTCTTGACTTTTTAACTTTTTTTTCCAACTTAATTTCCAGGTAGGTAATATATCATTCAAGGGCTCATCTAATTGGCCAAATCCCAAATTAAGAAGTACAGCCATGTAGCAGCATCTTTGCTGAATGGCTGGATATAGATCTTGTGCTTCTAGAACTCACTGAGGGACGGAGGGGACTCCATTTGTAAGGGATATGCAAGTGATCAAAAACACTAACTTGCCCTATAAAGGGTTAAGTAGGAAATTCTGAATAGAATTGGTTGCACCGACTTTTATTTAGAGGTGCTAAATGTAACAGCTCAAAAGATCAAATATTTATTAGCTAAAAGAAAGAAGGAAATTTGGAAAACATGTCAAATTTATAGACTTCATGAAGTTCTTTTTATCAGAAAAAATGCAAGCCAACATGAAATGGCTGAAAGGAAGTGCAAACTTGCGTAAATCAGATCCTACCAGGTGAAGAAGATGCCGGTCTGGCGGGTCGGGGAGAAGAATCTGTTCTCTATTAGGGGAAGATGACCGTAGTATTTTGCGAGCAGCTCCACCCCAGCGTCATTCCTGCTTGGCGTTCTGCAGGCCTGAAAAAAAAACGACAGAAACGACGTTTGGTAACATGCAGTTCTAACACACTAGCTGTGATGACGCAGTGTTCTCACTCAAACTCCTTTCAGGCATTAGGAGCCTAGTGTTTGAAACTACAGCAGCACAACCAGTCATTTCCAAACCCAGGGGCGTGGAACTGATGATGGGTTTTTAAGGCAGAGAATAACAGGCTGGGAAGCTGCTGTTAAAGCATTTAAACACCTCACCTGCCGCAGGTCCATCAGATCTGCAATCTCCTCCTCGAAACTTCGCCCGTCTTCATTGTAGTGCTCCAGGATGTAGTCCTGTCAAACACATGTGGAGTTCAGATGATGTTTGCATACAGTGCAGACAGCTTTGGGGCTTTTCTGTTCTGTCGCACAAATGACCTGAATCTAAAAATGGAGAGAATGCTTTTCAAACGCCTCATTCTTCTAGAAAGAGGCTGCGAAAGCAGCTCATTAAGACAGCGATCAGTTACTGACACGAAGAGACGCACAATAAACGTGCCATCACGACATTTACGAGACGGTTTCCTCTCAGCTCGGTGCATCTAGAGCAGCCGTTACAACTACTGACCTCATTTGGATTGACTGTGCTGACAGACAGCCCTGGAAAACGTGCCGAGCATTAAAGTTTTTGGCAGGTGGGGCGACGATAAGCGACGACAGGAACGTGCTTTGGAAAGCTTACGCACACGCTTGTTGTCAGGGTGAAAACAATGCCGGCTCGGTGACTGCTACTGCTAATAACGCGGCGCAGACAAATGACCCAAATCCCCAATGAAAGGAGTCTCCTTTTAAATCCAAACTGTAAACAGCGATGTGGGTCACGTTTAGAGAATGGAAATCCACTTTCATCCTGATCCTTTTAGGATGGGGTGGCGCTTTTTCTTTTCTTTTTTTTTTTACATTTACCTTTAAATTTATCCAGAAGTTCTTAAAAGGGACTTTATAGGCAGTGAGGATGCTCAATTCCCTCCCTACTACTACTACATTCCCTCACTACTTCCCCCACGTCAGGACTGCTACTCTATGCACCATTCGCACTGTTTGCATATTTAAATATTTTAATATTTATTTTTATATCTTAGGTTTTCATTTCTATTTTTATTTTATGCTATGGTTCATTATATTTTATATTTTATTATGCACCGTGGGGTTGAGAGGACTGACATTTCATCTGTGTTGTATGTTTACCATGTAGCACATTTGACAATAAAGTTGAGTTGAGTTGAATTTATTTTGATTTTGTTTATTCAACACCCCTTTTCTATCTGCTTCTTTCTGCTTAGAATGTGTTATTTAAAGCTACTTCCATGTATGGCTGTAATGAAAGACGCCATTTTGCATGAAGGCGCTCGAAACACCTCGAATTGACCGCAGATCGCAGTTCTACTTGGTGCCTTCTGCTGAAATGCAGAAACATCCGTCTTCTATACAGCGGAAGGGAAGAGACCGTTCATCAGAAAAGGGGGACTGATGGCGTCGTGATTGGAGCAAAGAACTTGGAATCCTGAGGTTGTGAGTTCGAAACCCACTCCCACAGACAGCCCTACCCACGCTGGGTCCCTGAGCAAGATCCTTAACCCCAAACTGCTCCCCAGGCGCCACACAGTGGCAGAAAGTGGATTTTTTTTGCGCTGTACTCGTAGCCTCGTGAGACCATGCTGATCTCGTGAGCTTTCAAGGTTTCACTCGCAGATCAGTCTGGAGACTCTCCGTTGAAGAAAATTTGGAGCCGTTCACCAAACGAACGTCCAATCAGCGTTGGCTTTGAGGCGGGTTGAGGTGTGACGCAACGAGAAGCGCGACAGTTCAGTCTAAAGAACATGGCAGCTTCAGACGATGAAACTAGCGTTAGCGTGGCTATCGAGCAAGTTTTATCGGAATTACAGAGTATTTCTTCACTGAAAGAAGAGCAAAACACTGCTCTGGAGGCTTTTCTCAGAGGAAAAGATGTTTTTGCTCTTCTCCCGACTGGTTTCGGCAAGAGTTTGATCTATCAATTGGCTCCTCTTCGTCGTCGCTCTGTTAGTACGTCATATGCTTCGTTGATCTGATTGGTTTATTTGGCCCGTCTATCACCAACATAGGCCAATCAGCTAACCAGTATTTTCGCCCCTTCCCAAAATTACTTCAACGGAAGGTTTCCAGATGGATATGCGGAGCAAATCCATCTGGCGGAGTCAGGTTACTGTACTAGTGGCAGTTAATGACAGTAAAACGCTGGAGGAAAAAAAGAACATGTTCTCCAAAATGTATTCTCCTTTTTGCCTTCAGGGCGCCGCTTTGTAATTCCTAACTTTAAAACAAACCGCTATGCAAATTCTTTTATACCAACAGCCATTCTACTTTTAAATTCTATGTAGGGTGGCTGGTGTGTTTTTAAAAAAGAAAGATAACCGTTATCGTTTTACCATCCTTCTGTGTTTTTATTATTATTGATTTTGGTCTTCGAGCTTCCTGTCACATTTTTCCTTTTAATCATCTTATTTTTTATGTTATTATATGTTAATTTTATTTATTTATGTATTTTTTGTTTGTCTTCTGTAAGTGGTTTAATAAAGTGGTCTAAGTCTAAGTAACAGAAAGGAAAAAGAAGTAAAAACCAGGAGCAAATGAGGCTATGTGACTGAGCTTTTACCAGTTCCAGGCCTTCTGCTGGACTGGCGAGTTAATTTAATAAAACAGTGAAGTTTATTTTGGTGTTACGTTAGAAACAGGCAGAGATACTTTGCCTACTTAGTTCTTTAAACTGGAGAAGCTTGGTTACAACAGTTAATCTTAACAGATGACATCCCAGCAGGCGAAGGTACGCTTCTTTTAGCTGCATTTTCCAACAGATGTTCAACAAGTTTCCTCCTTTTTTTAGCTGATTTGTTACGAGAAACAGTAGTGATGAAAAGTAGACCAGGATGTTGACACTTTTATGACACTCTGCAGCTTCCGTAGTAGCTTTAACACCCAGGGAAACCTTATCGGTTTCTAATTCATTTACATGGAAAAAAATCGAAATCTGGATAAGTAATTTTTTTCTTAAAATAAGTGCATTTGTTCTTGAATTGAGGAGGTAAAAGAGACATTTTGCCAATGGAACAGGACAATTTACATTTAAAATAAGAAAAACATAATTGCATTGTCTTATTTCAAGTGCATATTATGTAAATATCTTATTTTAAGAGTAAAAATACTCATTCCATTGGCAAACTGTCTCATTTACCTACTTAAAATAAGAATAAATACACTTAATTTAAGAAATTTTTACTTATTTCTTCATCATTTTTGCAATGTAATGCACCATTACAAAAGTAAAGACAAATATTTGAGTGTTTAAGACTAAAGTCGTGTTTTTTTTTTACCTTGAATGGAGCAGAGAAGTCGACTTCTTTAGTCTCCTTCAGACCCAAAGCGATGAGGGGAATGTGAGCAGTTTCTCTGTAAAGCAAAACAGAAAGAAGCTTCTTTACCATCAACGATATACAGCTTAGACATCATGTGAATGCGTCTGATAAACACGTGCGTAAAGAGATCGCAGCAAAACGATAAAAGAAACCGATGTGTTGGCAGCAGCGTGAGGGATCAAAGAAACACAAACCAATCCTGCCTTCAGGTTAAAAAGTCAACGCTGAACAATTACTTAATTATGTCCTGAATGCACGGCACCAGCTGATCCAACCAGCTCAAACTGCACTGAGAAAGTTCATGTTTTGTGAAATCTTTACAGAAAGAGAAAAGAATCATTTTAAGGGAGTCAGGATTTGGCAGATGGTGCAGGGAACACACTGCAGGAGTCAGGATTTAAAGGTGAACGAGGGCCTCACGCTGCACCCACTCTCCATCAATTAATCATTCCCAAGCTGCTGCTTTGCTGCAGCCCAAACTCCTTTAATTGCGCTGCCTTTGAAATTTCCTGTGGTTATTAAAACCAGCTTCTACAGGAGGGAAACTACCAGGACCTAAACTTTATGCTCCATGTCAGTCGGCGCCGGATTGTTTAGGAATGCCGGGCAGGAGGGACAGATGGAGAGCAGGTTCAGCTTGTTATCAGGACTGGAGAAACAGACTGTGACAAGTACCTGTTGCTGTTTAGAGACGCTGCAATAAGCTGAAACCCTTCAAAGCAGCCTGGGAAACGCTTCACTAATGAGGACGCTATGTCGTTTTTGTAGTTAATATTTTCCCCATGTTCCAGGAACAAACAAATGCATTGGATTCCATGTTTCACAAGGTTTAATTTAAGGGTGTTTGGGTGAAAGGGGCTAATTATAATGCAAGCCACAATTTTTAGGTTTTTTATTTATGAAAAAAATGTGAAACCATCCTGAATATCCAGTAGAATAGGGCAGAAAGACTACATGAACAAGCACAAGGTGTACAGACTACAGAATCCAGCACAAAAACACCCCGTTCTCATTCATCGCTTTAAGATAAGCCTGCATTCCTCTGCCATGCTGGCTTGGTGAATCACTGCAGCAGAGATAGGGGCTGCAGAGCACTGTGATGCATCAGCACTTGTAGATGAGATCATTCTGGTGTTGGCAGGAGCCAGCCTAAACGGGGGGGGGGGGGGTTCATCTGTAATGCTAGGATCCTACGTAAGAGGGTAAAAGCCTCTGAGAAAATTCACTCCCCATCCCTGCATTCCCAACCACTGATCATTTAAAGGGAGATGGAAAAAACTTTGGGGTTAAAGGAATAGTACACAAAGTCCACAAAAAACGTGTCAATATTCCTCCATACTGCTCGTCCAATGTATTCCAAGTGTCCTGAGTGGGTAGCATCCAGAATTTACTCGAAACGAAGTCATTTAGAATGTTTTTAGAGCATAAACAGTAGTGTATAGGATTTCCTAAAAGCGTGTTCACGAGTCTACGGAAACCATGGCAGACCAAACCAGATGAAAGTGCGCATTCAGCTCGGCAAAGAACTCATGCTCTTCCTCAACACTGAAGTCCTCAGACATTTTTCTTTCGTTGTTTCTTTCTTTGCACAGGTAAACAGCACATTTCTTCTTCTACGCTTGCATTATCGGCAGAGCAGACGCTGAATGCGCACTTTTATCTGGTTTGGTCTGCCGCGGTTTCCGTAGAGTCGTGAACGCGCTTTTAGGAAATCCTATACACTACTGTTTATGCTCTAAAAACATTCTAAATGACTTCGTTTTGAGTAAATTCTGGACGCTACCCACTCAGGACACTTGGAATACATTGGACGAGCAGTATGGAGGAATATTGACACGTTTTTTGTGGACTTTTATGGACCTTTCTGCCTCGGGCGCCATAGACCTCCATTATTTGAATGTCAGCAGACAGCAAGAAGCCTCCCAGATCTCCAGATGCATTTGAGATATCAAAAAAGTACTCCAGAGTGTTGTTCAGCATGGGGGTGAGTAGAAAATGAAGGCTAATCATGTTTTGGGTGTACTATTCCTTTAAAGCCTGTTTAAACTCTCAATCTTTGAAATTTAAATGCAATAAAAACCGCGCTTTGAGGCTCTGGAAATCTAGAAATCTGGATTTTGCAACAGGTTGAAGCACAAAGACCTGATCTCCCATCAGATATCACTCCGGGAAAAGCAAAAATCAACCACTTGACGTGATTTAAAGAGGATTTTCTTTAGACGTTTCATATTACAGGGAACAGATTAGCATATTCCAGCTAACACATGAGATTTGCATTACATTTCACTGCCTCTGAGGCCTTTATCACGGCAATAAAATTATTTTTTTCACTCTCTCTCTCATATGCAACAAGGTTGAGGAAGCAGCCTGCAGATATGGTGTCATTATCTTTCTGTTGCTATGATTTTAGCCACGCTGGTGAGTTCTGGAAACCTTTAGGAGGGGTTTTCTCTCTACAGACGTATAAAATATGGGCCAAGATTACATGGAAGTAAACAGACTGTTTCTGCAGATAACAGCAGAACAATGTTACACTAGATATAGGCTATAGGTCCTCATCAGAGATCAACAGATTAAGGTTTGCTGCCCCCAATATTTATTTCTGGGTTAATCTGTCTAACTTAGCATGAAAAAAAAAACAACCCAGAATTACAGCTTATAAATGGAGGCTTAATATAGTTTTCTTTTCTCATCTGATTTTTATAAAAGTTAAAACAGATTGTTGTTTTTTATATTAACTGTTAATTAATCTATCCTAATAAAATATATTTTAAAAGAAACCACGTTAAAGCAAATCCTTCTGTTATGCAACAAATTGTGTTGGAAAAAGCAGCTGAACCTGGTTAGAGAGGAAATGGGAGCGGAACCCGGGGAGCTCATGGGAAAAGCAGAGAAAGGTTACGGGAGTCGTTTGTTTGTGTTTTTACCACTGAGGTAACGTTTCAGGCTTAAATAAGCCACCAACATCTTCATTGAGGCGATTTGCAGGATCACCCAAATGCATCCAAAGCTGCTCAGAAATAATGAATAGAACATATCCACGAGCTTTGTGTTGGGATAATAAGTACATGGAGTTTTTCTGCAAGGCTTGTTTTGTGTTTCAGGCGGTGGGAAACACAGGTGGACAGATAATGCTGGGTTTAGAGTCACGGTATTGTCAGGCAGAGCTGGGAGCTGCTGCTTCTTTAAGAACCTGGCAGAGACTGACAACAGACTGTTTGTCCTGACCCTGCTCTCCCTCCCTAATCCTAACACTGAGGGCATTGACAGAAGACACTGGGGAATAACAGTTTTATGCAGAAGCTGCAGCTGAAACCTATTAGTATCGCTAATCCTGAAACCCAATGGAAAACTATGTTACCATTAACTCTGGTTTTGATGAAACTACTGGAGCTCAACATCAGATGCCAATAAGGAAAGTCGCTAATCTTCCACAGAGTCCTGAGTATCTGTGCAGACTGACTCCATCAATCTAGGTTAAAACCTCCTGAGTGTTGCGAGACAAACACAATAATCTGGGATTATTGTAGAGCCAACATTAGTGTGCATTTTGGCTTTGTGAGGTCATTTACAAGAAGACCTGTCTAGCTCTACAACTAATTGAAAGAAGGAAAATATGGTCTGATCATATAAGCCTGACTGCATATGAGCTCTGTAGCGTTTTACACCAACATTCAACATGAGCCAGATTATGAGCAGCACAAACGTTCTGAAGAATCTAACATTTACACTGCAAAAATGATCTAGAAATAAGTAAAAATTTCTTAAATTAAGTGTATTTACCCTTAATTTGAGTAAGTAAATGAGATAGTTTGCCAATGGAATGAGTAGTTTTAGTCTTACAATAAGATAAAAAGATAATATGCACTTGAAATAAGACAATGTAATTGTGTTTTCTTATTTTAAGTGTAAATTGTCTCGTTCCATTGGCAAAATGTCTCTTTCACCTCCTTAATTGAAGAACAAATGCACTTATTTTAAGAAAAAATTGACTTATCTAGATTTAGATTTTTTGCAGTGTAAAGCTGCAGGTTTACTTCATGAATTCAAAAAAACTGATTATTTATCAACAAAGAAGAAAAACTTGGACTAAGGAAGCAAACTGGGCCTTTTCTTAAGCAACCAGCAGTTTCCAGGAAGCCTTTCAGACTCCGTCGCCTTCCATGATCATACAACTTAAAACCTCATCAGCGTTCTAATTTTGTTCACTAAAATCTATTTACCTGAGGTTTGGGCATAAAAGATCATGGAAAGCAGAGATTTGATCCAATGTACTTAAATCAGTCCTTTCTAATCTGGTTTTAGACAAAACTGATCCTGCAAAGATGATTTCAGATCAACATATAGATCATTGCGTCCCTCGACAGTCGCTTCATTTCTAATTCGACACCGATATTACACCATCGACTGATACACATGAACCAATAGGATATCAGCACAAATTATAAATACTTTAATGAATTATTATGTAGAGTATGATGTTGAAAAATATCTTGATCAAGTGACATTAGTAAAAAGAACAACAAACAACAACAACAGACCGATCTGTTATTAACCAATAAGTTAAATCAATGTTAAGCAGAACCAGAATGTTTATTTTAGCTTATTAATACGAGATTTTAGATGCAAACCAATTAGTTTTCTGGCGATTTCCAAGATCAATATAAGATCCAGACATTCCAAGAAAAAAAAACTATAAAAGAGCCAAAATTCATCTATTTTAAAGGTAAACTATGCATCCGGTGTGGATTTTCCAGCGAGGCTCCCCCCAGAGGGTGAAAGTAAAAGTGCACTGTCGTAAATATGCTCAGCGGTTGTTTTGAGCTTAG